ATTCTGTGTGATTCTGTGTGATTCTGTGTGAAACGGAGAAAACCTTAAGAAGTATTAAAGTAACAGTGAAGAACAGATCCATCCTGAAAAATGCAAACATCAGAAGCTTAGCTGGACTATGGAAGCCATGGAGAGAACTGAAGACTGATTTGCTACTATCTGAATTACTAAGAGAAGATTTAATGCAGACAACCAGTGATGGTAACCTGAAGGCTAGCCCAAAGCCCTGGTGTTGGGTATTGGAACATCTTCTTAGGATGGTTCTGAGTAAAGATTCTCCCATGTGAGACAATCCTTACAGAGGTGATCTTCATATTTTTGCCAGTCAGTCAGCTGTAGCATCTCTGGCTTGGGAATTGTTCTTTTACCGACTCTAGTTTCTGTGCACATAAATAAGGAGCAACGGCAGCGAAGGATATAGTTCTTTGTTACTCATGTTTCAATATAGCTTTTCAGGATTCAAGTGGAAATTCTTCCCTTTGTACTAGGCTACTATTTTCCCTGAGAGGCCTTCCTTTTGTGCTCCTGGGGACAGTTTCTGAAACTGAAGGTTGCATCCAGCTTTTTGAAAGTCCACAACTAAACAAACAAAAAAATCTGTCAGAAATACCAGTGCTGTTACAGCAAGAATCAATGTTTTAAGGAAGAGAGGGAAATATCACCATTTTAAATACCTGAAGGAAAGACAGAAACCTGTTTCTTCTGGCTTGCTGGAATTCAGTGGAATTCAGTACCAGCTAGTGGAACCATGGTTCTTCTCTCTGTCTTCACAGTGATCTTGGCTTTGATTATCCTTTGTGCCTTTATAACTAAAACTATGCCAACAGTCCACTGCTTTAGTTCAAACAACAGTATTTACTGTATTGCCTGAAATCTTAGTTTTCTGCAGGTGTGAAGTTGCCTAACGTTGGGGTAAGGGGAAATTACATATGATTTTATCTATAGCAGCTGAAATGTATGCGAAACAAGTGTTTTCATTTGTTCAATTCAGTGTTACCATTGGACAGTGAGAGCTGCATAATCTGTGAAATTAATCCTGTTTCAGGAAACGAGACTCTTCCTTTTGACTTTGAGTGAGAGTGGATGGGGCCCTGAACTTGAAACAGCAAATCAGTTTTGAAAAGATGCTACAAGGCTTTTGTTTGAATGAACGTATGTGTATTGAAAAGGCTGCTGTGTTCTCATGCAGCAATAAAGTTATGCAGAATGTGGGTCATGTAAAAAAGCTTCTTTTTTATTAATGAGTCTGTTGGTGCCAATGTAGCTTATTTTTGTAGCAAGCAATTAATTAAACTCGAATTTTCTTGTTTCAGGACCAGAGCAACGGAATGCTTCTGTTGTTCCAAAACGTGCAATCCTTAGATTGTTTGGCTCACAGAAAACACAGTCTACTGGGAATGCAAAAATTCACATTTTGTCTTTTTCAACCATGGGTGCTCGGCACCAGAAGACAGATATTGCAGTGATGATGAGTTTTAATTCTGGTGCTGTTTTCCCACTACAGCATCATTAACTCTTTACTAATATATGGCTCATAATTATGAGTCCTGTGACTGAACATTGTATTTCTTGTCTAATTCAATTAATGTGTTTGTCCTATTCAACTCTTGCTGGTACCTGAGTAGAAAAGTGATGATACTGAGCATACCTGGCAGAGTAGAATCATCTGCCACTGCCAGGCAAGACTGCAACATGAAAATTCTAGCAGAGAAAAGATAGCTTCTAACTGTACTCCTCCACTCACTCCTAGGTGTAACACCAGTTGTGTCCTGGTTTAGAAAAAGCTGAGGAAAGGAGAGGAATTTTATTTTTCTTGACTATTTTTTATTTTTATTTGCATTCTCTTTTTCTTATGAAGTTTGCTATTTGCTAAACAGTGGGCATAAATTCATCTCTTCTCATTCAACTGCATTC